CTAGTTCACTTTACCCTAGTCCAGACGAGACAAGGATATACTTTTGTTAGGATCGGTTTTGCAGAAAGGGAGTTCTCAACGCTAAGATGATAATCTGCTACGAAAAAGATCTTGCGGCGTCAACACGACGCTCGGGAAGGAAGAGACCGGAAAGAGATAAGCTGACCAACTTCAAACTTGCTTGAACTTGTCCAAGCTATAAGCAGGAGACGAGCGGGATTCGAAACGGTCCAATGCTTAGCTAATCCGCCCAAATTCGCGTCTGGAGGACGCAGACCATTGATACCGACGGCATCGGCCTGGGCTAGAGCAAAGCGCACATGAAGGCTCCCTAGGCTAAAGAAGGAAAGCCTTCTGGGCTCAAAAAAAGGGAGGCGCCAGAACAGTTTCCATATAGCAAAAGCCCAAGCGACCACGGCCTTGTTCGAACTCTTGGTACGACGCGTTTAAGGCGGTCACACGCCCAGCTGACCCGTCGCGGGGAGTGTCGTTTAAAGGGTCGCAAAGGGAATTATCCCGAAAAAGGATGGGAGTCCCAAGGATATGTAGGTCACAAAGCACGCTCATGTTTACCCGAGTCTAAGCAGTTGATACTCTATGAAAGGAGAAACACAAGTGAGGAGGACCATTGCACCGCTGTTCCAGCTGTGCGGCGTTGCGCTTCGAGCGTTGGCATACAAAATGAAAGCTTGCTTTCTATGTGGTGCAGATGCAGAAGGGTTCCTCCACCTATTTCCGAAAGACCCCGAACGGTAAGTGAAGAACTGTTCTATCTATTTTCTCCCGTTCTGCATGGCATTGCTGAAATCGGTTTACTATGATAGCTTCACTTTCTCTTTTTTGTAAAGAGCAAAGAAAACAACTGTTCGTTTTTTCTTTTTGGTAAGGGAGACAAATACGTTGCAAGATATGCGCGTGCGTCTGCTTTCAATTTCGGCTTTGTTCTAATACCGCGCCTGTTTTAATTATAGGCCTTTCGTAATTGGGGCCAACCTTTCTTAAAGTGAATCGCCAATTCCGATGCCGCAGCATTCAAATTTTCACACCATAAAGCGAGAGTTTTCTTTTTATCGTGTAAATAGGGCGACCTAGACAACCAGTTTCCTCAGGCTGCGTGCATCGTTTTATCGGTACTTTGACCACTGCTTTTCGCGTGAACAATTTCCGCAAAAGTTGGAAACTAGTACAGAGATCACGAAATTTTTTATAACCAAACAATTTCTGAAAGTGGCACTTGGCAAATTTCGCAATATATTGACCCCGCAAGAATGTGCTGACCGCTAGTATTTTATATATTTAGGAGGAAATTTGTTTCCAAAAGCGATTTAGGTGAGCAGTGCTCCGTGTGAATGCTGTCTCCCAGCGGTGCCGCGGTTTGAGCACGAGCGCGGAGTGCGCGACATAAAAGATAATTCGTTCGAATCTCCATGCTGGCTGATGCGTATTGCTTCCTACAGTCACCAGCCGATTGAAATGGAAAGCGCAAAACGCCCTGACACAGACAGCCAAAACCTCTCGTCCTCGAGGCCACTGTATCATCTTCTCTCGTCTCCCTCTTTTTTGTTGCTTTGTTATTAACCCGCCCCGCTGCCGTCATTCATCGTGCTTTCCTTTCTTTTCCTGCTCTTCTTCAAAGACCCCCTCCTATCCCGGTGATCCGGCAGGGAGTCAAGAGGTCCAACGAGACAAAAGGTATAATAATGGATCCTTTGACTCGCCAAACACGAGTCAAGAGATCCAATGCGGGTCAAGAAGTCCAACTCGGCACTCACGGGACTATTGGATCTCTTGACGCGTTGAACCTCTTGACGCGTTGGACCTCTTGACCGTAAGCTTCACTTCACTTCACTTTATTTCCTTAAAGACCCCTTCGGGAGGGGTATTACAAAAGGGGTGGGAGAATATAAAAAAAACAATAACTTGAACAATAGGTTGTTACGCTGGATTGATGGTTGACACATCTTCAGCAAACCTTAATGGGCAGGTGATCGTAGCAACATCGCCGGGAAGGCCGTTCCAGTCTGTTGCAGTACGGGGGAAGAAGGAATTGAAAAAAGTGGCAGTTCGAGTGCGGTGACGGGTGACCTGCAATGGGTGACCTGTGCGGAGAGAGATGCGGGCGTGGGGTACAATGTAGGGCGCGTGATGGAGCGGAGAATAGAAAAACTTGTGAAATAGACATAAGCTAGCAGTTTGGCGACGAGAGGAGAAGTCTAAAAGGCCCGATTCAGCTTTTAAGGATGAGATACTAACTTTGTACGAGTAAGATGAGTGGATGAATCTGGTGGCGCGGTTCTGAACCTGTTCGAGTGCATAACTGAGATAGGCTTGGTGCGGGCTCCAGATGGGGGATGCGTATTCCAGCTTTGACCTTACGAGTGATTTGTATGCTAGCAGTTTTATGCTTTGAGGAGCGGTACGTAGATGGCGTTTTAGAAATCCTAAACTTTTATTTGCTGATGAGATAATGTTAGTGACATGTGCGCGCCATGATAGGTCGCTACCTAAGGTGACACCAAGATATTTATAGGACTGTACTAGTTCGACGGGAGTGTTAGCAATTGAATAGGGGAAAAGGAAAGGGTTGGTTCGGCGATGAAAGGACATGAGTTTGCATTTATTAGAATTAAGTGACATGAGCCAGTGGTCGCACCATTTCCGGATGCGGTTGAGGTTTTCCTGTAGATTGATTTGGTCAGAAATGTTAGTAACTGGTTGGTAAATAACGCAGTGTGGCACAGCCACCGAGCCCACCGTTCATGATGCCCTTGACGTGCAATAAGAATTCTGTGAGGAAAAAAAAAAACCTTCGCACCATTTTTTTTTACCGAGACCACACGTAACACGCGCGGCAGACCTGCATTGCGAGTTAAAACGTCGCAAGGGTCAAGGTCGGGGAGGCCGACGCAAAGCGGACATGAAGACACTTTGTCCGTGCTTTTTTCCTCCTTTTCTTTTTTGTCCCGTATTTTGCTTTTTTATAGGCAGCCCCCCTCCCCTCCCTCGTATAATCGATCGCATGGCGGGTCAGGAAGTCCAACGAGTCAAGAGATCGAACGAGTGAAGAGCTCCAATATTGGACCTCTTGACTCGAAATCCCCCCCTTTCCGCCCGTGGCTGTGAAAGCTGCTCATTGGGTAGGTCCCGCTTGTATCACAGGCGCAGAGAATACTGACGAAAGGGAGGAGTGGTCCGGCAAACTCGTAGCTCCCACCAGGGCTGAACCGGGGAATACAGTGACCATGTGCGCGCGTCCAACGCCTGAGCTGGGACCGGTTGTCGTGCTTCGGGTGGCTGTATCACACTGAAAAGCCGGAGAGCTGTCGAAGGAAAGGAGCTACCAAATAGTCCGCTATATTGGCAAATATTCGTACCGAAAAACATGTGGGCTATTGATTCTCTACCTTCTTTCTTTTGGCCCACAAAACGATATGTAAAATCCCTATGGAACTTCATTTATCCCAGCCCAAAGTTGGTTTCATGGCCCCTTTCAGTAGAGCAGAGAAGGTCTCCTTGGATAAAAGGTATGTGCAGGGAAGATGGCGGCGTGCTGGACAAGACGCCCGACAGAAGCTTTTCGACGTGCACTCGGAGGAAACTGCAGAGCGTCCGTCTGGGAACAGTTCCTTCAGCTCCCTTCACGCCTGGAGCCAAGGGACGCACGACAAAGGCACAAGGATGCGCCAGTTCGGTTTTGCATCGCGAAATCTGACGTTGTTGCCCCACGAGACGCTTTTTCGAGTCATTCCTTATTCGCGAGGAAAAGGCGTCCGGCTATTGGAGTGCACGAGTCCGCCAACTAAAATTCTATTTTATTTCTATGGCACGAAACCTTTCGGACAAAAATATATCTTCTTTTCGTTGTTATTCAATTCGAAAAGGTTTTTCACGAGACGGGCGGACTCCGTTCGCTTCGACTCCTCGTCTGGCCACTCAGAAGCTGGCTTTTTCCCCAGTCCCGGCTGTCACTGTCATCGGGGGGAATATTGCTGGATCGGTTCTTCAATTCATTTGTGAGGCTCGCAAGCGCAACCTGGCGCAAAAACTTGGTCAACATTACCTGGAAATCGGAATACACCTGACATCGGTTTGAATGGTTAAACAGAACTTCCATATCGTCTTCATTAAGATGCAATAACGTTTACGTTTAACTAAATACCGCTTATAATGATTCCTTGGCGTTCATAACCGATGTAAAGCGTGTTAGATTTTTTATCACGCAATTGCAGTCGCAGAAAAAATTCGAGAAAACCGAGCAGTGTTGCCCCCTCAATTCGGCTTCAGGATAAAGGGGCCTCGAGAGCCGCTTCTATGCCGCCAATGTTTGATCATAGTCACGCGTTGGGGTTCATCCCAATGATTGGGATGAACCCCCTTTCGTCCCAATGATTGGGCGCGAGCAGCTCCCCGAACGCATGTCGACGCATGGAGCAGAGACAAATGTTTGCGTCCAATGCCGCATTCGTCACCGCGTTGATCGCCAAGCTGCATATCCAATGATTTTAGGTCTGACTTTTGTGCCGTTGAAATCTCAGCCAGAAACACACGTTCAAGACGATGGCATCTCTGAGGACATCTAAAGGAAGGACTAAACAGGAGGTTGAGTCATTTTGACTTTCGGCACTTCCGGTGAGAATGTTTTTGGCAGACGCGCTTTTCGACTGCCGAGAAAGCGGGGATATTATTTTAATCCGCGATGGATGTCGTTTGAGCCCGCTCTTGGGCCACCGATCGATAGGGTGACGCGTGGTCGGAACCCCGCGGGGGCGTGTCGCGTGGCCCCGCCCCCGGGCGGCTCGGCCCCTCCCCCGGGCCGGAGCCCCTCGGCTGGCCTCCGAGGTCCGCGTCGTTGGGCACCGAGTGCCGCGGACCGTGAAAAACCGGCTGGCGTCGGCGCTGCAGCGAGGTGCGACTCTCTCGCCCCGGGCACGGGCCCCAGCGCTCACCTCGGCGGGTGAAACTAGCCGTGCGGGAATTCGGGGGAGGCCCCCCTCCTGGTAATGGCGTCCGCTCGACTTCACAACGGACCGGCCCCGTTCGCACCTGACGGCGGCCCGGCATTCCTGGACCTGTCGGCGCACGTGGAGCACCACATCGCCTACCACGACTTCCGGCTCTCGGAGCTCAGGGCGGCCGGCGGGCCCGCGGCCGGCTTCGCGCCGCTGCCGTCCTACCTGGACGCCGGGGCCGACGCCTTCTCGCCGCTGGCCGCCTGGGAGGGCTTCGCGCCCACCTACCACGCGCCCTTCGAGTTGGGCCCCTTCGGGCCGGCGGGCTCGGGCCGGCTGCCGGCCATGACGGTGCAGCGGGGCTCCCAAGGCTCCCAAGGCTGCAAGGGCTCCGCCGCCGAGCAGAACGGCCTGTGCGCCGTGGCAACCCCCGCCGCCAAGGGCAAGCCCAGAAGGCGCGTGGCAACGGTGGCCCAGCGGAGGGCGGCAAACATCCGCGAGCGCAGGAGGATGTTCAACCTGAACAGCGCCTTCGACAAGCTGCGCAAGAAGGTCAGTGCGCTCACTTGGCTCTCCCAGGAGCTCGGCAAGCTCAGAGACTCGTTACAGAATTCCACTCGCGTCTCAAGGAACAGAAAGTTGTGCAACTTAGACGTCGAATGTTTAGAGGTCAATATGTCCCCAGTCAGTGCCGTCTGACTGCGAATCTGGGGCCTTGATCGTGCGCCGAGCTGATCGATTCTGATTAGACAAGCGTGCAAGCTGGATGCTCGTCCAGGTCGAGAGCCCGTTTCTTTAGGTTTCCCTCAAAGGGCTTCTTGCAACTGCTGGCACTCGAGGTACACGCTTGGCTCTCGCTTCTCAGGGCGCGCCTGCCGCAGGCTCTCTGAATGGCACGCTGAGCTGTGGAAACAGCAATGCAAAGTGATGTATAGGTTAACGCTCGAGACCATGATGGGGCCGGCCACCAAATTTCGTAATCAATAGGCGCATTTCGTATGGTAACTTCGAATGTACGACTGCACGACGCGCTGTTATCCACAGAACTACACGGAGCTCGCTGAGCGTCGCGTTTAAGTCATTGCAGATTAACCCACTTTCTTATTCAACGCACACTAAGTGGTATACCCCACTATTTTCGCCCAGGAGCATCAGCTTAGCTTTGGTGGTGATTTTTTTTTCTCGGATGGTTCCCTTACAAAAATCCCATGTATGACCATATACATCTATACTATATGACCTTACTTGCCCAGTTCTTGATATGGCAATATATGACATTTCTTTACGGATTTCATCCGGAGCTCGCACCGCACACAATGACATAGGGAACTTGGGTTTTTATGCGGACGGGCATTGTGCCGGCGGGGAATTTGTGCACAGACTGACTCCCCGTTCTATGAACATCAACGGCCGTTCGTCACCTGGTTTTACTCGCTTGAGGTGGATATCCCGTGGCGTAAAAATGTTCCTTAGCAACATCTTTTTTCTTTAATGAAGTTTAGTAGGCGCTTTAAGTCTCCAAATCTCCGAGGATGAGAGCCAACTGCAAACCTGCTCGTGATACTAAGAGGTTTTTAGAAACTGTGAAACGGTGGCTGACGATGATAGCGCAGCGTAGCTCGGAGCACGCATGAGCGAAAACTCGCGCTACAGAACCCAGGGGGTTCCAACCGCCGCCCTTTCCGAGTTCAGATCTGGCTAAACATCCCGGCATGTTTTGGTGCCAAGGCGCTATGCCCGTAAGCAGTCGTATACTGCGCTGGCCAAATTGCGCATCTACAGCCGAGTCAAAAGACACGCCTCCCGAGGCAGACCGACCACGTCCTCTGCACACATATTAGCAGTTTTTTACAGAGCGTTAATGCCTGGCTACCGCGGCCACGGTATGGTTCCTGACAAGCATTGAAGAAGGCTTCCAAGGAACACCTATTTCGCAACGAAACGATTTTGAAGGAAAAGAAAAAAGTACGGGAGTTGAATTAGCGTACCAATACTTTGCACACTCTTTTTTTTTTTTTTACTTTCATTATTTACGGAAGGAATCGCCTTGGTCGACCCATGTTCTGTTCAGCTTTACGAGATGCACGTGAGATATTCTGGTATACACTTTCTGTTTTTATTATGTTAAGTGTACATTAGGTAGGTTGTTGGGCTAGTTGGTTCATCTTAGTAAAACATATGAAATAGCGCAAAAACGACAAGGACAAGCGCTATATAAAATAGCGCCTGGTCTGTATACTTCTTGCCCTTGTCTTTTTACGTTATTTTATATATTTTACTAACTGTACATTGTTTATATTTTTGTATAATGTGCAGTCAATTCATGTAACCCTTCTAGAATAATGCCTCCTGGGAGATGTATGCAATAACCTACGGAAACGCGCGCTAAAACTGCACATTACTATGAATCGCCGGCACGCAAAAGACGGCCGAGTCCCAACTTGTACACTTAAAGTCCCGTTGTTGTTTTTTCCATTGCCTCACGTCACGGGAGCTTACGTCGGCTTACGATGAGAGTCATTTGCTCTTCGTATAAATTAAGCATGGAAACCAATTGAAGGAGTAACTTTGCACGCAACATTCGGAGCACGGATGTGGTTCATAACGTAGCGTAAGAAAAGGCACCTCTTTATTGAGGAACTCTGTTTAGGACAACGCGCTCGCGCGGGTGCTATGAGGTGAGTCTGGCACCTCAACTTCTCAGAACAGTCTGCCTGGAGGTGGTTTTCTGCGCTTCTAATAGAAAGACTCTGTCCAGGAGTGTGTGATACCATAAGGGACTCATGGTCTACACTCCATATTTTGCTAGATTAGCTCAGTTACGGAACTGCCTGCTGCTTGCACGAGCGGCCCCCCATGGCTCGCCTCCGTTGTTCGAAGCGCCGCCCTATTGGACAGACTGCTGCTATGCTAACTGCAGTGTATTCTATGAAATACGTATGTCTCAAAGCACAGCGCCTAGATGGCGTTTGACCGTACTCTATGGAACACGCAGTTTGTAAACGAAACTCTAGATGGCGCTTCAGACGACGACAGGTGGGCTAAAGGGAGTGAGGGGGGTACCTCCCTCCGCGGGAGTTCCACAGCTGAGGTAATCTAGTAAAGCCTGTAGTATGTTTTCACACGATATCAGTCCGTCATTTTGTTTCTAAAAAAAAAAAAAAGCTTCGTAAAATAAATGAAAAGAAACCCGATGGAGCGCCCTTGTGCGCTTCTGATTTGAGGGTTTCACTTCCACGTGATGAGGGTGCCAGTCAGCTCGTGACAACATAATGGTGAACCAAGTTACATAAGTGAAAACACAAAGTAAATAGCGCACTTTTATTCCTGTTACAAACGTTCGTGTCCTCTCAGAGCTTCTTCTGTATCGGCATAAATAACGTATAAACCAAATTTTCGAATGCAAGATGGAAATGCAGGCAATTGGCTCCGAGAAACCTATCTCTACCGCGGGAAATTTAAACTGCCTTCCGACTGAATGCTTTTATTGTATCGGATCAGCAGCTCACGACCCCGACACTGCGCATGTCCCCTCGGCATGTATAGGTTTCGCTCACTGAAGACCTTCGGTCTGAAGGCTCTTGAAATGCCCGTGAGCCAGTGGCATTAGTCGTGCTGAGAACCACTGCAGTTCTGGAACGCAACTCTGAAAGTGACGTCCGGCCATTTCGACGTGCGCCTGGTAATCAGACCAGGCAAATGAACCGAAATCCGAGTTATTGCAATTTAGAGTCGGCGAAATGCAACGTAAGAATTTGCGAACTGGCCGCGAAACGCGCTTTGAGTTGATTTAATCTCATCGGTTAATAATTCAGGCTGGTCGAGGGGGCCAAAAGGTACATTCTTAGCCGGCCCGAGAACAGCTCGCCATTCGTAGCACTTGGCGACGAGGGTTTGCAAAGCAGGGTTTCCCAACGATGCCATTGCCCCGCAGGTTGGTGCGGACGAAACACCCCGCGTCACCAACACGCATGCGTGCGCTCGGGAACGGTCGTAATGAGGCAGGCCGAGGAGCAGCTTCTAGCTGAGTCCAATCAATGGTCTTAGCTCGTTGAGCGCCAGTCCATCGACGCATGTGTAGCGCATTTCGGAGAGTTTGCTGCTTCGTGTCGGTGCAGGTGCCGACGTTTGCGTACGAAAAGCGCCTCTCGCGGATCGAGACCCTCCGCCTGGCCATCATGTACATCGCCTTCATGAGCGAAGTGGTCGGCTGCCGGGAGGAGCCCAGCTGCGCCCAAGTGGCCGCCGTGCCGGGGCCCTTCACGGCCGGGGCCCACCTGGACGACGCGGCGGGCCTCTGGGGCCCCGGCCGCCCGCCCGCGCCCGGCGCCGACCCCCTGGCCCACCTCTGCTCGTCCCGGCAGGTGTGACCCCTGGCGCTGCTGGAGCCCGCCTACGTGTTCGCGCACCGGTGAACGCGGGGTTGCCAGCCGCCCGCCTGTCTGGCCGAGCACCGCCGGACCGACTACCTCCGTGGGACGGGGCCCGCGGTTCCCGCGCCTCGGTGCCGGACGCTCTGTGGGACCGCGATCGGCCAACTGGGCCCGCTCTCGGAGCTCCGAGAGCACCGCCGGCCCCCGTTGGTCCGGCCCTCCCATCGCGGGTCCAGCCTCCAGGATGCCCTCGGACTGTCTCGTTCAGTGTCGGTCGCGAGAGCCGGACACGCGCCGAATCACTGTTCCAGACATATTGTCGCTGTTCCCGCCGCTCCATTTCACTTGCAGGTTGCCTTCGCTGGCAACTCATGGAGTAGACATCGCACTAAACAGATGGCCTTCCATCATCTGCAGGTGAAACCCGCAAGAGTAGTCTTACGACACTGCTGGCAACCTTTTTTTCTTCTTTTTTTTTGAGACCGATTAGAGAGCAAGAAATAGAACCGTTTCGAGTCTATGTGGTGCGCAAGTTCATCTGCTTCATGAGCAGGAGTTGCGGTGACTTGAGAACTCCGAATTTTGATTGGCTACGATTGGAAGGAGAGTGGGTAGACCTCGAGGCAGCTAGCATTCAAGTCTCTATCCCTCCGTCAGAGCCAGAGCTCGGCGTCTTTCTGACGTCGGTACAACCCCTGCGCAAGAAGCAGACCAACTTGCACTCCGTATAGCTATGAGACAACAATAAACGATTTTTACTTCATAGCGGCTCAAGCACGAAATATTCCTATGAAAAGACAAAAAAATGTTTTTTTTTTTTTTTAGTTTACGCAGTAACTGTTTTTGAGATGTTTGGAAGAGGGACGTATAAAGCTTAGCGCGCATAATATTCTCCCTATCCGGATCGATACTGCGTCCTGAATCTTTGACCCTATTTATGGACAATCCGGCTCACGATCCTCTCCTTTTTGTTATTATTGTACGCTTCGACGGCGCTTTTATTATGTGTATCTGCACGCTTAACCTGACATTTCGCGTGTCTACGCTTCGTAGCCTCGAACAAAAAGATAGATCTAGCATCCTGGGACATTGTCTGCGACGGGAACATCATATCCCATATCTCAACGGAACAAAATGCTTCGAAATTTCTCGGAGATTGTGGGACCTTTGTGCATTAGTAGAGACCATCACGCCGTCTGAAAGCTGCGCTCTCTCACTGAACGCTCTTGCTCGGGTGTGTGCCCCCCGCATGGTTGCCACATAGAATCCTGAAAGGGACGAAGCCAAAGAGCAGTCGTTTCTTAGAGCATCGTGTAGCCATCGCGGAATCTTGCAATGGGCTTCAGCAACTGCAGCCTCGTGCAATTGAGAACCGTCCCACATACCTAAAGCGTGGTCAAACCTAAATTGAATTAAAACGACTGAGATCTCACCTCTGTCCACGGCTAGTCGTATATATGCCAGATACCATTAGATCCGGATCCGCCAGTTTTTTTTCGGTTACCCGCGAATATATGGGCAGGGTCCTATCCTATCCTATGGGGAATTGGACATGAAGCGGAAGTACGTCGTTCTTTTATACTTTCTATGGCGATCCTAATTCACATTTTCCTCGACTCTCCGTCATCCAGATCTGTGTGTCGAAGCCTGATAGAGTACAGGAGATCAGTTGCGGCATTCGTACGAGAAGTACCACATTTCTGACCACACACTAACCTCCCCCAAGGACGCACACACTTTCGCTGTGCCACATGTGGGTCGTTGCATAGCTCTCCGCACCGAGAACGAGGGGGCTACCTCGTTCGAGTTTGCCGGAAAATGTTAGCGCAGAACGCCGACGGATTGACCGCGCCACCTCCATTGTCCTCATGGACCGACAAGCAAGCAGAAAGACGAACGACTGAAGAACGCCTCGCAGCTGCGTAGTACCGTTGATCTGCCACCCTCCTCTAGTCCACGGAGCCAGTGCATGGGCACGGGAGGGCACATCCAGTCGTGAACGGCCACGCCACGCCCAACTCGAAGGGTGTTCTTACATCCTTCCCGAACGCCCTGTGCCGTCCCGCGATGCAAGGCCGTCCTTCCTGGAAGTCTCAAAAGGCTCGGAGATGCGACGTCTGAATCCCCGAGCAGCGCTCCTCCGTTCGGCAGAGTGGGCTATCTGCGAAGACGGCAGTGCGTGAGATTTCAATTGCATACATGGCTCGCACGGAACGGCATCGCACCAGCTGGTCTGCCTTCCTCTTTGTTCTTGCCGAGGAGAAGAAATTCGCTGGAGCGAAAAGTGGGCTGCAGACGTTGCGGCGCTCGGCAGCAAGACCACCACAAGGGACGTTGTTGCCAGCCACTGGTAGGCAATGCGCAGCACTGGGAAGAAACTCTCTTACACAACTTGTCAAAAACATTACGGGGTCGCGATTCATATAACTTGCAAGTCACTTTCACTTGTCTAAAGCACTTAATTAAAGGCCTCGTTCCATTCAACAAGCAACAAATGCTCATCGCGAACACATCAAACGCGTTGAAACTTTTGGCGTTTCAGCATCACTACCTGGCTGCAAAAGAACATCCCTGAGAATAAGCACTATACTATCGAATGTTGCTCGAGTCGCCGAAACGTTGTTTTGTCGGCTGATAAGATCAGTTTTTGTCACTGTGTAGACTGGCACGGAGTGGTTGGTTATTCGTGAGCTTTGTGAGAAAGGAGACGCGCGAACATTCTCGTTGTAGGCGCCGATGGCACGAGAAAATGGTTCCTTAAACCCTTTTCCCTATAAGACCCGATTACGACACGTGGGTCTTTTATTCGACTTCCTGATCTTCTGCCTCCTGACGAATATCGCGTAATGATGTCAATGTCTTCCATCGCGCGGTACTTTTATAGGTATTTATTCAGATATCCTGTCTAGTGTTTTTTTTTTTTAATGACGATGGCAAGCAAGGCCACTGTCCGCCGCCATGTCTCCGCTCGTGCGGACATGCCCGTGCAATTTCAAGATTGCCAAAGCTCACGCGCAAGCTGCACGTGCTTCCACAGTGCACCGATGGGGAACCAGTTGGGCCGCCATTTCGAGAGCGTGGAGGAGCCGCCGACCCCTGAACGATTAGTGGGTAGAGGTAAAGCTGTCCCCACTACACGCGTGAAAGCGTTCGATTGCGAAAGCCAGACGCCTGGCGTCGGCCTTCTAACGCCTTCGACAAGTGCATGTGGAGACCAAGCAGCTTTAGGTCGACCCACTCATCGCTCCAGTCAGGGGTCGGCGTTTTGCTGTTTCCTCCATCAGTTTTTCGGCGTAGAGCTCACTGGCAATACGTACAGTGCCACGAGTGTCGTTTGCGCGAAATGATCCAACAGACCTTGTATATTACGTGTCTAGTATTTCTACGCTTTCAACGCTTTTTAACGCTTTGAGAGAGTATATTTTGTAAGCCGTGTAACAAGAGTAGAACCCGATTGCAATATGCTGCTTGTAATATTTGGTAGAATTAAAAGTTGTCGTTCGGAATCTGAGTCTCGGGCAGCTTCCTGGAACACTTTGAACGCAGTGTGAAACATCCAGTGTCGACGGAGCTGCATGGAACAAATCGAAACACGTGTCAGTGGGACGAGGTGAGAGATTTCGTTCGAGTGGCCACCGACGTTCTGCGCTGCAGCGAGTCTCCGCAAGGAACAAGTGTGGGCACGCGGAGAGGTACATCGCAAACACCTTCCCTGGTTCTTTGATCGCAAATTCTAATCCCAGGCGAGGTATCCACATCATGGCGGAGGCCTATTGAGAAGAACTGACGCAGTGTAGCCAAGATTTGGGCTGCATGCATGTCAAGATATTGCCAACAAGTCGAGAAGTCGAGACGCAGCGTGAGTCTCTTTGGACCTTCGCACGCAGGAGCCGCGCCGACAGGTCTCGCTTCTCGGAAGGCTAAGACAGCGCACGAATTTCCGTCTTCGGAAGGCAGCGCGGGACGCGCCTCTGAGAAACCACAATGGGGTTCCAAGCTTTGAGCTGTGGAGGAATTACGCTCTTGCATTGGATTTGTATACACGATATATCCGAGCGTTGATCGCACGCAGAGAGCCTTGAGACACGCCGAAATAACGTCCTATCTTAGACTGTAGATTGAACACGAGCCCTGCCCCTCTCGGTCCACGCTCCACAAATACGTCCATATTAAAATGTTCTTAACGTTCGAGCATAAAATGTGCCTAAAAAAGTTAGTACGCGAGCCGCTATTCGTACCAATTGATTCCTACAAAAATATGTATGGACGTCCTATGTCCATACTTTTGCCGTTCTATTACCCCTTTGTCCATCCTATGGATTCCTGTAGACAGTTCTTAGACCGTCTATGTTCCACTGGTTTGCCACAGAATGGTCACAACAACACTATAGAGATCTCCGCGAAAGAAAAAGTTTTTCATTCCTTCCTATTTCCGTTCTAGGGTCCCGGTGAGTCTATGGACATCCTATTGCCTCTCTTTGGTGTGAGCTATATATTGATACATTAATAAAGTGATGCCGGGTAGACGTTTTCTTTAGGTGTAGCCAAGTGTCCGAGTTAAAGAGTTGTTAATTAAGTCCCGGGTATCAGTATGTTACATTGATGTCTGGAGGCATATCCAACCTCAGGGCATTTTCATTGTGGAGAGTTTAGTATGTACCGGAATAATTTTTTTACTTCCTCAGTGGGAGGTAGGTATACGTGGGTATCTGCGACCACCGTAGGGTATTCGCAACTTTCACAACCCATAGGGGGCGCACTGGTGCCTATCAAAATGGCGCTCATCTGGATGATCGTTGTAAAACAGCGGTATACTATAGTCAGTTACAGGTTAAGAAGGTAGCGGCAAATGCCCCTCAAAGGGAATCAGATATCCCTCCGCCACCTCCGCATCCAATAGCGTCCCACCGTTTCCGTGACGTCGCGGCCAACGCGTGAGGAGGGTCTTGCCTTCCTGTACATATTTGCTTTATCTTTGGACTTTGACTTAGCATTGTGGAAGCCACGAGAGGGAGATTAGAGTTCTCCCCCACCGACGGAAACAAATACGACTTTCGGGGATTAGCTTCCCCCCCGATGGGTACAAAGGCTGCTTTCAGGGGCTCGGTTCCCTCTCTGATGAATACAAAGGTCGCTTTCTTAAAAAGTGGGATCGGAGAAAAGTGGGAATCCATTGAAGCGGAACAAGGAGCGTTTCCAGTGAACTCTTCTTTCGACCGCGGAGAGATTTGAAACAGACGCATCACACTTGTGGGAGGAGCTTCTCCTACCTTCTTGACTTGTTTTACTGAAAGAGGGCGAGAGAGAAAAGGGAAAAGGGCTACCGGCGCTTTCCTCCTTTCTGATTGTGTAGAAAGAGTGAAAGTCCCGGATGAGAGGCTTGGCCGGTGTTGGGTGTCTGCTGTGCCCCAACTTCGTTCGCGCTTTCTTTTCTGTTTTGAACTCGCAAACTTAATTAGAGTAACGGACTTTGATGGCAACAGTTCCCCGGTCATCGGGACACCATTGCTCGGTCATAGGGTGCACGAATAACGACAGAAAGCGTCGAATACTGTCCGAGGACCTATGTAGCTTGCAATGAATCCGGCAAGGCGAGAGCGGCTGCAATTAAGCCCCATCGCTTTCCACATGACCCCG